AGGAAAAAAAAAAAAAAAGACTCTCTTGCATTCTAATCTATAGGTTTTAGGAGCTCTGTGCCAGGAACTGGGTAGGGACAGACACCAAATCTATATTTCTTACTCTATGGAACATTACAGTCTCTAAGGCCTTTTACCTTTGCCCTCTAATACACTCTAATGGTTAATTACAAGAGTTAGAAAAGCGTTCCTTAGGGACAAATGAAACTCAGGAGAGGCTGGTGATGGGGATGGCTGGGCCCTTTTCAATTCCCACACCAAGTGCTGAACAAAAAGCATGTGGGTTTGAGATCCACATTTGGTGGCAGGGTAGGAAGAGGGCAGAGCAGAGTTCAGGTCCAGTTGTGAGATGGGCAGCGTCCTCACGCTCCAGCACTTTCCCTCCTCAGAGGGCCTCCTCTGCCCCTGCCCTCATTCCATCCTCTGGCCATTGAGAAGCCCCTACTCAATGCTTGGACCGTAATACCCACTTCTGTCTTTGTGTCATGTTTGGTTACAGCTGCCCACCCCCCCCTTGCCAAAGCTCCCACTTCCCCTTTCTAGGCCTTATTGTCATCGGGTACACTAGCTGAGTGACCTTTCAGGGTCTCTGGGTTTAGACTCTGATACCCAAAGAATGTGAGTCTGAAATGGGTTTGTGTGAAGCTGGAGACAGAATCAAAGAAAGAATCCTTGGGTGTCTCCCCCTCTACCCACTGAAGTTTGTATTGTTAATAAAAGATCATGCCTCAAACCAGCGTTTCCCATAATTTTGTCTGGGCTATGATCAGTCTTCCCTCATGGCCAATGCCAGAAGGCAAAGGTGACACATTCCACCTGCCCACACACTTCCGAGGCTGCTTGTGTTGTCTTCCTGTAAATCTGCCTTCTGAGATACATTTATTGAAACATATTTCAATAAAACATCTAGTCTGTATTAGTATGGGTGATAAGTGGATAGGTATGGCAGGAATAGGGAAGGTGAGATCTGAAAAAATGAAATTGGAAAACATGACTTTGAGCAAACAAGGAATTTCCAGAAAGATGATTTTATTTTAATGTGCAGTGCTGAGGATGAAAGCCAGGGCCTCATGTATGGCAGGCAAGCACTCTACCACTGAGATACCCAGCAGGATGATGTCCATGGAGACTGTTCAGTAGAGGTGACATTTGAAATGGCGTGGCCTTTCTGGCATTTCTACTGCACCAAGCCCAAATCCAGGGGACTTGGAAAGGGGGCACTCTCCAAACATGTACATTTGCTCCCTACTGCAGGAATATGGGGATGACTATGAATCTCTGCTTCCTGGCCATGAGTAACAAGCCTGCTGAGTCTTGCTCTGTGATACTTTTCAGAGAGCTTCTTTGAAATGTGTTTTGCTACCAAACATGCTATTGGCCCCACTGAGTCTCAGATTACGAGGACTAACCTCAGTTGGGGCTAACGATGCTTCCCTTGACAATGTCCTAAAAAAGAGAATAGTATAGAGTTTTAGAATAAAATTCTTGCTCTGTCATTTTTTTGTAGTCTTGGGAAGCTATCAAACCTGGCTCTGCCTCTTCCCACATGTATAAAATGAGGCTAATAGTAGCATCTACTTTATGGGATTGTATATTTTGCAAATAGTATCTGGCCCATGCTAAACACTCACAAATGGAACATGTCAGCACACACTACCTACGTATTACTGATATCTTTAAAAAAATGTATATAGAGTCTTCTTTCTGCCAGCCTGTCATGAAATGGGAGACCCAGGGAAATCCCCAGACACATCACTTCCAGCCAGTTTCTTCCACTATTTGGGAAACTTCTGACACAACCCACAGGGTTTTCTCTCCCTTCAATTTTTTTGTGACACTGACTTGCAGCCCCACATGCCCCAGAATGTGTGATATACCCAGAAGTCTCACAAATAATTTTTCTTTGAAGTTAGGCAATCTCCAGGAACAAACACTAAATCACAGAATTTTTTTAAAAAAATATTTTTTAGTAGTAGTTTGACAAAATACATTTTTAAAATTTACTTATTTTTATGTGGTGTTGAGGATCGAACCTAGTGCCTTGCACATGCTAGGTGAGCACTCTATCACTGAGCTACAACCCCAGCCTCAACCGTAGAATTTTAGCATCAACTCTCTCATTTCAAAGCTGTCAACAATTTTCAATCTCTCTTCAATACTTGGAGACACAAAAATTCTCTGTTAGGGCAAAACCACAGTGGCCTTTTGTCTGAATAAATGTAAGACTCCACCTATTCTTTCTGAAAACAGACAGAAATATAGCTGTTTTAAAATAAAGGCTAGAGACTGAGGTTGTAGCTCAATGGTAAAGCTCTTGCTTAGCATGTATGAGTTGCTGAATTCCATGCCCAGTAGAAAAAAAAGAAAGGTAGAATTATGTAGTCTGGAGTAAAAGGGGCAGGAAACGCTTTCTGTCTCCATAAGAATTTAGCTTGTTCTGTATGTGAAGCAGTTTCACTGCCTACTGTTTACCAACTTGTCAGAGTCTGGTGAGACAGCTCACCCATGTATACACCAGTTACAGGAAGCAGGCTTGTTACTCATGGCCAGGAAGCAGAGATTCATTGGCAACCGCTTCCCCAAGGCTCAGGAATGCTACCCAGGCAGATGGAGTTTCATTTGCATCTGCTCCAACTGCGCCACAGCTGAGGAGCCCCAGAGAGCAGCCTGCCCTGGTTTTACACCCTAGGGACACATGATTTGCTGGGCTAAAGCATTGAAGGACATCCTGATTCTGAGAAGGGGGAGGAATGGAAGAGGGCTCAGGTTGTTCCAGCCAGTTCTCCACTATTTCAGGATGCTGCGTTCCCAGCACATTCTGCAGTTAATCTTGAGAACTACAAACAAGAAGTGGGGGAAACTGGGTTGATTCAAGGCCACTAGAGAACTTCCTGTACTATGCTTGTATATTATGACTTTTTCTGAGCGGAGCATGCATTTGTAAGTACACGTGTGCCTGCATGTGCACATGTGCATGTGCTTACATGTAGTATATATGGGACACCAGGAATGGAGGCTCCAAATTCATTCTATTCACCTCCCATTGGGAAGGAATCTGGCAAAAGATTGGACTCTATGAAAAAAATCCCAGGATTAATAAATTAATCCTAAAATAAATTATATAAAATCCCAGGATTGGAGCTTGAGCCATTGTGAGTTGAGCACTAAAATTTCGTGACACGTTCTATGTACTGAGATTCTATGTAACCTTAAAGACTGAGGCAGCTCCAAAATATCTTGTTTAGTGTGAAAAACAAGGTTCAGAAAAGTTTGTATAATAGGTCAAAAATGTGTGAAATTCAGAAAAAGGATGAGATAGAATATTCTAGAAGGACGTGCAAGAAAATGATAATGACTGCCTTCTATAGCGCTAGGGAACTGGCAAGTGGAGGTGCATGGAGATTTATTTTTTGCCATATGTTTTCATACTATCTGATTTTTTAAAAAGCATATGTGTGTAGAACTCTAAGGAAAAACACTTTAAAAATTGATGTGAACTCATTTTGCAGTCAAAGCTGGTGAGGCCTAAAATTATTTCCTGAGATAGGTTTAGAGGCGGAGTCACTTTCTGCTGGGCTGACCCTGACTAATGGCTGACCAGGGTGTGGCTGCCAATACAGGCCCATTTCTACAAGACACGAGACTGCTTTAGCAGGAGACTTTGACTTAAGGACTCCCCGTTGGCCTGGGAAGCATGTTCTAGGAACTGTGCTACAGTCCATGGCTGTTTCTAGGTTGTCTTCTTCCCACTTTCTTTCATAAGTGTCAGAACGGCATTCCAATCTGAAGGCTGTCACCACCTTCTTCAGCATCCCTTATTCTTCACAGTATTGGCTCCATAAACTTCTTGCACATCTAGTCCCACCCTAGAGTCTTCTCCCAGGACCTGAATTAATATATCTGGCCTGGTCTCTGCCATCAGAGCTGCCTTCAACACGCCCTGCTTATTGCTGTGCTCTTTCCTGACGGCAGCAGTGCTGAAACAGTGGGATTATGTGCACAAGGGAAAGCAAGGGCTGACTTCAGCCCTGATGGTGCAGCACCAATGCCTCTTTGGGGTCGGTGGTACCAGCAGAGCTTCAGAGTGTGGGGTTCTGAGGCTAACTTGTCCTGCTTGAAATCCCAGCTCTGTGTGACCGCATACAAGTTACTTAACTTCTCCATGCCTGATGGCTGTGGAACACACGTGTGTAGACAGAACTCATCCCACAGAATTATTGGGCAGAAAGGACCATCCTGGCCCTGCTGCAGGGAGGTCTGCCTTGCAGTGATGGCTTACAATTGAGGGAGTGCTGCCCAGGCAAGTGCCCTGCCCTCCCTTTCACCTGCCTACAAATAGCTTCCTGTGGTTTCTGCCACTCCTTTGGGTGAAACGGCCACATGGTACACTGGACCCACCCTGGTTCCGGGCCCCCGCTCTGTGACTTTCACCAACAGTGTGGAAGTCTTTTTCTCCTTCTATTCTTCTATTTCTGTATTTGTGAATCCAGGAAGTTGTACATCTCTTGTTTGAGGTTGAATCTTACTTCTAGCCCCAAGATGCTAGGAAGGTTGTACTCTCCAGAAGCGAATTTCATTGTCTTTCATTCTGTCCAATAAATGCACACTTAATGCGTCTCATTGATGCCACTCTGTGCTAGGCCCTGGGGATTCAAAAGTGAAAGAGAAGGTCTTCACCTTCAAGTTGTTCAGTCTTCCCGGGGAGAAAAACATGACCACAGACAATTTCAGTATAGCAAGACTATTGTGACCACCTAGAGATGAAAGGCTTCAACCCTGGTCATTACTGACATTTTGTAATGGGAAATGGGAGAGGTTCAGGAAATGGTTTCCTGATCGTGTTTGACTCAGGGAGGAAGAACAGTGTGTTTCAATGTCCCTTTGTTTTTTTTTGGGGGGGGGGAACTAAAGGGTATTTATTGTTATTGAGGAGAAAAAATGGAAAACTCTGGAGGTTAAACAAATAGGAAGAGTTTATTTTTCTTTTATGGCTTTTGAGGCCAGTTAATGATTAGTGAGCCCCAAGCGGGTGTTGGTGGTAGGTCGGCCTATGTGCTCTGTCTGACATTAGGGGTCTGCTTCATACTAGCACTGAGACTCCAGGCTCAGCGATGCCCCCGGACCTCTGGGCGAGAAGCTTCTGGTTGTGGGGACCTCTTTTGTGGCTCAGCGTTGGACGTTCAGGTATGTTGGGGGCTCAGGCCTTGGGTGGAACTTATCTTAGTCAGAGAGTTTATTTCTTAAATTGTCTACATACGCAATACTAACTGTTGGGAGGTCCCCTAAAAACCCTTTCTTTGCCTCTCCCAAAGTGAATTTAAAAGAGGGAGGAAAAAACCCCTACTATCATAATGGGAATGATTGGTAAACAGGGCACTTTCTCAGGTCACAAAAATTGAAACTTCCCCTGGTTGACTCATTTTCTAAAACCTGCGTTATAATCTTCTTCACCTTGCACAAGCCAGGGTGACTGTAAGAAAGCAAAATTTAATTAATTGCAAAATTTAATTAATATTCATTTTTATCTTAAAAATGTGCATTTTTCCCAAGTTATATTTAATGTTAAAAATTAAAGTTTACAATCTAATAACGATTTTGTCACTGAGATTGTGATGTCCTTTCTAATGCCACTGACGGGTTTGTCACACGTCCCTGGCTGGATTATGATAATTAGTTTCTGTGAACCACAGATGCCCCTTAGAGCAACCTCCCTCAGGTGCCATTTGTGTTGGATCTCTCCCCTGGTAAAGAGCCAGCCCATGGTTCCCACTTGCTTTACATAGCAAACTGACACATACACTGCCCCTCCTCACCCCACCTACCAGGGCAACACCTTCAGAAAGAGGCCCTCCTTATGCTTCTGAAAGCAGACTGCTTTTTAGTCTTCTTCCCAAGATGTTTCTCTCATCCCTCAGCTTTAGAATGTGTTGTTCCTCTGCCTGGGGTTGCTCATACAACCCTTCGGTTATTTCTGGTTTTTGGGGGGTAGGGGTACTGAGGATTGAACCCAGGAGGGCTTAACAACTGAGTCACACACCCAGTCCTTTTTTGTCTTTTATTTTGAGACAGGATATTGCTAAGTTGCTTAGGGCCTTGCTAAATTGCTGAGGCTGGCTTTGAACTTGCGATCCTCTTGCCTTAGCCTCTGGAGTCATTGGGATTACAGGTGCGGGCCACCATGCCTGTTCCCTTGGGTTACTTCTATTCTTCACATCTTCCAGGAGGCCTCCCATGGTTCCCCTCTCTCTTGCAACACTTCATTCCTCTGCAACACCTTTTACCTGCTCCAAAGTCCACATGGTGATGTGACTGTGTTCTCTCCCTGCACCCAGGGGCTTTTCAAGGTGCTTCTTGGCTTCCCATGGACTTTCTCTTGCTTCAATCATTTGCTTCCTCAAAGTGTGGATATGATTTCCTGCCTCTTTTGATACGATTCGCACTGTGCTCTGTATGCCACAGATGCTCAATGAGTATTGCTGTGTCGCTACTCAGGGGAGCTCAGGTCAAGCAAAAGGGAACAGGCTCTGGGTCAGGAGAAACTGATTGGAACCCTGGTTCTGTTTCTTCATGGTTGTTTGACTCTGAGGAAGTAACTTTTCTTTACCTGTAATTGGAGATTATCCTTACCAAATAGGAACACTATAAGAGCTAAATGAGACAATCTCTGCACAGGGTCTGACCTTTTGCAGTTGCTTATTCTCTGGTGATTTTATTATTGGTGAATGGTTGTATGGGACAATGGAAGAGGAGGGAACAGGGCTGCCATGAGCTACTTTGGACAGAAGATGGGAGATGTCCCTGAAGGTTCTTGGGTGAGCTGTGGAGGTGGACTTGGCAGCCAATTTGCTCCTGCTTAGCAGCTCCATGCCTACTACAGGGCCAGGAAGCATCTGTTTGATTGTGTTGATTTGAAACTCAAGGTGGGAGAACTAGTAGCAAACTGCCTTCAAACTCTTTTTGGAACCTCATCTTTCAGCAAGCCTAGAAGCCCTTAGGCACAGACTAAAAATAGTCAGAAGGGGACTGAAATGGAGCAAATTATATTCCATGCATGCACTATTCTGTTGAAAAGAACCCACTATTAGATATAACTACAATGCACTAATAAAAGCACTTAAAAAAAGAGTTCAGAAATACTGATCCAGGTAGCAGGGTTGGGGTCAGGATAAAGCTAATCCAGTTCCATCTTCATGTGTGGGCAGCATTCTAGACGCCGTGGGCAGGAAATAAGCTGGTAATAATTTAATAGCAGGGCCTTTGTCTTCCTCCATTTTTCTCTGGACAGCTATCTGTTGCAGACCATTCTCTATTTCCCATTTATTTCTCTTCCTTCCCACCTTAACTGAGTGTGTTGTCAATGGTGACGATACATATTGAGTCAATGTTTCCTGTTCTTTTAAAAGTGCTGTATTGGAAATCAAAATGGACAGGTGGATAGGTGGAGATACTGTGTGTGTGACCAAGAGGGACATGTACCAAAAGGGAAAGGAAAAAGAGCGTAACTGCATTAAGGCAGTCGAGAGGCAGAGAGATCAAGAGAAAGGAAAGGAAAGGAAAGGAGATCAAATGAGCGTGAAGGAGGGAGGTTAAGGAGGTGCTGAGATGCCAGTTGATCAGGAGGGTCCTTCTGTCACACTGGCACGGCAGCCAGTGCTCACAGGCCTTGTGGAAGGTAACCCTCTTGTTTCTTGACTGGGCATCTTCACAACCTTCCATAGCAAACCAGGCCGCAGCAGCTTTCTCCTTGGACTAGGGGAGGTCAAGGCTGTTGAGCTTGCTCCTTGATCAAACTGTCCCTTGTGTGTGCAGGCAGGCTGTGTGTGCTCCCTTAGGTGGTTTCTGAAGTCTTCTACCTGAGTCAGGTGTTCTCTCATCACCTGTGTTCCTGGCTGCAGACCTGATGTCTGTTTCCTGCTTACTTTAACTTTCCCCTCTGGACTCTGAGTCCCTGAAAGTGGCTATGGTTGGTATTTTACTCATCCTTAAATACCCAGAGCCTAACCCAGGACATGGCCCTCAAGAACCATTCAGTAAACCAAAGGCCATGGCGGCTTAGGAGATACTGAGCAGATTACAGGCCTCGTTTTCACTTCTTGACATATATAGTAGGTTAATTAAATGACCCCAGTTCCGAAGTAACACTTTCACCAAAAAATGGGGTTCAGAGAGTGAATAATTTCAGCCACGTTGCTGACCAAGTGATCTGTAGGTCATCAGAGGACATGGCTGTGTCTGCCAAGGAGACTAGGGCTCAGAGGGAGTCCAGGTTCAGGGCTGTAGTGTTGAGCTGAGGGCAGAGGTGGCTGGGGAGGAGAAGCCAGGGTTGGACCTGCAATGCTGGCCTCTCATAAGCCAGCCAATGCCATCCTTGTTGAAGGCTGGGCTGTCCCTACATGTCTGGCAAGAGCCCACCTTCAAGTCAGCTGTGTTGAGAGCCCCTGCCCTCCTCCCACCCCGCAGTGTCCTCTGAAAGCATGGTGGAGGGAGCCCATAACCCCAGACACACACCTCTGTCTCCACCATTTCCTCCACATTGGACAGCACAGTGTCTAGCTATGGTTTTGAGCCCTCTTTTGTTCCTGTGCACCCCACTCCGTTCTCGGCCCAGGCCACACAATCAGATTGCTCTAGACAAAGAAAATTTTTTAAAACAAAAGCATGGGTGAGATACCAGTCTGCAGAACACACCTCAGACAAGTAAAGACAGGATCATAGAGATGACGTTTCTAACATTTACAGAACATAGGTCAACCTGTGTGAACCACAAGCAGCCCAGGCAAAGAAAAGGAGCCCTATGTAGCTGGGCCCCAAGATTCACTTCCCATGGGGGAAGCTGGGGCTTTGCCAGGGTCGTAGGAACGTTATTCAGCACTTAGGCCCAGGAATGGGAAACTATGGGTGCTTTTCAGACTTGGACAAACCAGTATGCAATTCTCCACCTCTCCTTCCTATTGTTTATAAACCCCTGGCGTGTCATGGAGATAAAGTGAGCACAAGGAAAAAATTGCAAGTTTTAAGATTCAAAAATTTTCAAAAGGGTACAAGCGATACATGGAAATATATGCAAGTAGGAAAAACTCCCACAGTTCTAAAGGTATGCTATAAACTCACTATATATATTTATGTGTATTGTGTATTTTTTCTTTATCTAATACATATGTATTATATGTATTTTTGTGCCCGTGTGTGAAAGCCTCCATATCAACACATAGAGCTACCTTGTTCTTCTTAGTGACTTTATGTACTATATACTATGTTGAAAAGGATTTATATATTGTACATTTTTGCAGATATGAGAAAAATTTCTCTGCAAAGAGGTTGTAATTATTCATTTAGTTCAAAAGCACATTTCCTACCTGTCAATACTCTGCTATATCAAACATTTTTAGTATTGTTAATCTGATAGGAAAAATAGTATTACAACATTGACTTAATTCTTATTTTTATTATGATTAAGGTCGAACATCTTTTTTCTGTATCGGCTATTTTCACTTGCTTTCAATTAATTGCCTGTTTAGGCTCTTTGCCTGTTTTTTACCCTTAATCGTTAGAGCTCCATAAAAATTTGATTTTTTAGCATAGGAGGAGTGAGTGCTTTTCACCTGCACTGCTCCTTCCCACACCCCATTTTCTTTTTTCAGAATCATCCAGCTATTCTAGTTCCAAGTCCTCAGTGAATCCAGGTCAAACCAGCTCTTCACTTACCTCACCTTAAAGTGGGCCCTGGGGGTCTTGGTGAAGTGGCCCTTATCACAGAAGACTCCGAAAAAGTCACACAAGGCTCTTGTTCTGCAGAGTATCTGGGATGAGGATGGAAGTCTCTTTTTAAATTTCTTCAGCAATCACATCAAGGCTCTTCAGATGTCCAGAGTTCACTGTCAGTTGCCCTCCTTCATTCAGAAAACCTCTTCACATGTGAACCAAGCCCTTGGTTCCCAAGCTCAGGCCTTGGACCTCAATCTGCTATCCTTGTCCTGCCCTGCTCACTGAGCCCCAAGTGAATCTACTAAGGCCTCTTTTTCTCCCGGGTTCCCTGCAGCTGCCTGATGTCTAGATTCTCCTCACCACTAGCAACGCCAGGGCATCCCCTTGGTGAGGATCCTTCCAGCATCAGGTTCTTGCCCCCACACTTTCAAACTTTCTCCTAGGTCCACCCTAGTGCAGAGTCTCACACATGCTGGTTT